ACGTTCGCCGAAATGGCGTCAAGTGTCGCGTATCGCGTATTAGGATCGCCTCGATCTCGATCTCGTCGACGACGCCTCTGTCAGACTTCTGCAGGCACTCCGGACTCCGGAGTTTCTCGTCAAAGTGTCGGACGTTCGCCGAAATAGCGTCAAGTGTCGCGTATCGCGTACTAGGATCGCCTCGATCTCGACCTCGTCGACGACGCCTCTGTCAGACTTCTGGCACTCCGGACTCCGGAGTAGATCGAAATCCTCGTTTACTTCACGCCGTCGTTCGCTCGCCGAAATGATGAAAGCAGTCCAGACACGATTGTCGCCATTCAGGTATGGTCCTATAATCAGCTGCGTTGATATTTTTTGCGTTCTCGATCATCGTTGTATCTTGTATCGAAGATACTGCTCTCGAGATTCGAGTCGCACAGTTGCATAAAATGCCGGGTATACTCACTATGGACTGTGCGACGTGCAACGCAACGGTTGCTGCAATTTTGACACAATTGTTCGTTCCGGAATAAGACGTACTCGCTAGTTGCAGCAACCGTTGCGTTGCACGTTGCAACGGTCCTAGTGGAGTGGCCGGTAAAAGAGTTTTGTGTTTGGTTAGGTTTAATAAGCGCGCTGTGTGCGAAAGATAAATTCTTATGCTGCTGTGCGTCCGAGAGAGAGAAATTTATATAAATTGCTTAAATCTTTGTGTCTCTGCGAAAGTAACTTATGACAATCAAATCATACATAATTTTTTTTGCTTATTTTTTATATTTCTGTTAAGTCAGTTAAATTTTGAGCCTGCTCGTTAGTTGAACTTATTCTTGCACAGTTTATCTTTTCTCCTTTTCTCTCCAACGTGAAAAGAAAAAGAGGAAAGATGAACCGTGCAAGAAGTTCAGCTAAAACAAACTAGGCCTTATATCTCGTGATAATTCTAATTAATTCTTAACCATCCAGGTGCGGTCATAGTAGCTCTACTACTTTGTCATTTTAAGATATTTCGTTCATACTTTCCCCGTGGAATTTCATCCCCTCTCTACCTCTCCTTACACTGTTAAATTATTAAAGGATAAAATTTAAATTAATACCTTAGTTAGAGTTAAATAATATTTTGTTATTTTTAATCAGCATTGTGTGTTGAAATTTATCGTTTTAACACAAAACAGGATTATTATAACTCCATTGATTCAGTTAAATTAACGATATATTGAGTAGGAGTTGTGGTGATCTAGAATGGTTAAAACTGACTCAAATTGAATATAATTGTTGGCACTACGAATTTAACAGTGTAACTTTCTAGCCGATCGAGAATAAATTTTGAAAGTGTTTGCTGCAAATTTTGTCGATAGAACATCAGTAGAAATATAACAGAATCTGCTAACAGAATATAATAACAGATTGATTGCAGAAATTGTGCAAAGTCTGCCCCGTTTCGTAACCACTTAAATGATATATATTTTATTCAAATTTTACGAAATGATAGATTCTGCTCCGTTTTCGACAATCTGCTGTTAGATTATATCGGCAGGCTCTATCGGCAAAACACGAGTTTAATGCGGATACAAATAATGCCGGGTCTATTGCGATATCCGAGCAAATGTATTGTCAATTTGTTGTTATATGTATATTGCGAGCAATTTGTTGAGTTGTTCCAGCAATGATTTTTTTCGGATGTGTAGTTGCTTACAATTTTGTTAGTTATTTATATTTATATTAATGAAAAGAATCTATTAATAAATCTATTAATCTATTAATAAAAAGTTAACCGGTCACGATGACCGCACTTGGGTAGTTATACGATATCGTACGATATTTTACCTGTGGATGGTTAAGGATTAATTTACATTAAATATGGCTAAATCTAGGCTGATACACGTATGCTATTGCGATATTACTGACGATCTATATATCGAGGATTTTCGATTATCTGATTTTACTGAATTTTCTGAAATTTTGCGCACAATCTTTCAAGTAATTGTCAACTTTTTTTGTCCAAACAACTGAATATTTTCTTCAGACAGTATCACTTAACGATGTATTTACATACTAACTTAAAATCTGATGTGTGAAGAGATACATTTATGTGTAATATGGTATCTATGTAAATATTTTTAATATCCGACTTGACGTACATTATTTGATAGATTTGTTGGATATTTTGTCAGACAAAGTGCTTATGGTTCTAATTTAAATAATTTTATTGCACATTAGCTTTTAATGTGCACCAGTCCAACCAAGAATTTACTATAAACATCTTAACAAAAATATATTCATCAAGCATATAGTTCAGATTTTCAAGTTAACTTATTACATTTCTAAACAATACAATAAGCAAGACTATATTGAATTTCTAAATTATAATTAGAGACCGGAATGCGGTGCCATTTTCCCCACTTCAAGGGTGTGCTAGCGGGCGAGCGCCGTGAGAATAATTACATAAATAAATAAATAAATATATTTGCTACGTTACACCGCTAGACTGGCGCGGTGTAGAGGGTACTCCTTCTCGACTGCTAGCATGCACGCGCTTGGAATAGGGAAAACGGCACCGCGATCCAATCTCTAGTTATAATAACATAATTTTTTGTAAATCGAGACTTAAGAATTATTTTGTTTCAAGTGCTTTGATGGTTTTATTATAAATAGTAATTTAATTAATTACGTTAATACAACAATGGTTAAAAAGAGAAAAAATTTTAGAAAAAATCAGGTATTTTGCAATAATAAAAGGTTTATAAAATTGAAAGCTTAGAATTTAGCAGCATTTAATTTTTTGTGATTAATAAATGTAATATTAAAAATTAGCTACTTGATATCTTTATATAATTTTTCCGTTTATCATTATTAATTTAGTAGGTAACTTGCAATCTTGAAAAATCGAAATAATTCGTTTTAAAATTCATATTGTCATACTTTCGATCAGAGTAGCACAAGCTTTTACAGCTTTCGTAACAAAGATTATAAATCTGCACACACATTACTAGTTTTATTCTAGCGTACGACAAAAATAATTTACGCAAAATTTGCATTTTCCTACATGGTATACAATTTGCACGGGTTAATATTATAACGCGTAAGTGAAAATGTGAAATTGAAAGAGTCAAAGAGTTCCTATAGATTCTGAGGATTAATAATCGTTCTCGGCCTCTTGAAGGAAAGGACGAATGGAGTACTCGTCCTCGCAGTCCGGAATGAGCTTTCCTTTATATTTCACGCAAAAGTCGACGCACTTCTGTCCCATGAAATACGTGCCGAACATCTTTGTGCATTGCGCGCAGTTTCGTATGCAAGCACCTGTACAAAGCCGGTTTGTACAGACTAAAGGGGATATCCATGACATCTCGGCAACGATTCTTAATATAATTGATTAAACGTAACGTAGAGATTTACTTACCGATATTTCGCTCGGCGTCAGTCGTAGATGCCGTAAAGCAGAGTACGGCGAAAATTATGACAAGCAGTACGATGATTCGGTTTGACAATTTTGACATGACTGAAATAAATGTAAGCATTAATTCGTTAACTGCGAAAGGATTAACACTCGAACATATTATACGTACGTCCAGCAATGATCGAGATATTGGCAATAATAAAAGCGAGTAAAATTCTCGATTATTCGAGGAATAATCGATTAAGGCACTCAGGTTTCCCTTCAATCCGCGAATAAATCTTTTGCCAATAATCGATTAAAGTTTTTGTTATTTTATGCTGATTAATGTGGTTAAATCTTCCCGGTACGGAATATTTCGGTTGTTGTTAATATTAAAATAATAAATAATAAATAAATAAATGGGAGGAAGTCCAGATTGCTAAGTAAATTATTGAACGCAGACTTAATGAGAGATCTATTTAATGCTAGTGGTTCTGCGACAAGAATTTTTTTGGTACGGGTAAAGACCACAATATTAATAATATAGCGCTAAAGAGTTAAGGTTTGAAGACCTATTTAGATGAAAAAAATTTTACGTCCCGTAGAAACTTGGTTCTATTTCAAATTCTCACTACATTGTATAAAATCTTCGCTTATATTATATGAAAACATGAAAACTTGTACAGATGTAAAAAGTATCAAGTGTTGTGTAGAAACGATAAAAGAGAAAGTAAGTCTAAATATAAGTGATGTCTTACAACACTTGTACCATGTGATATTAAAACTACATTATGAATTCTATTCGAGCCGTTCTTACAGCTGAATATTAATAATGCATAGATCTAAATCATAGACCTTTAATTATTTAGGCTATGCATTACTGGATTGCGCGTACAATGTCTGCCGTTTCCAAGAGATATGATAAAGTAAATATATATCAAATGTTAATGAATCGCTCTTATTAATGCTCGACATAGATATTTCTTTTTTTTTACCTTGCAACCCTAAAGGGGAACAAAGAATCTATCTATTTCTTTTTTATTCGCTCTTTTCGATATGGTGCAATCTGATTGAGCCTCCTTATTAGGCCCAGTTTTACAAGTGTCGGTTAACTTTTAACCTTAGATTAACTCACTCTTTGTCTCCTTCTAACGTCTCTCTTAGAAAGAGACGAAGAGTGAGTTAATCTAAGGTTAAAAGTTAACCGACACTTGTGAAACTGATGGGCCTTAGGCCTGCAAAGATCAAGGCAAGAAGAGTTTATCAACCGAGCTTTCGGCGGAAGGCGGAAGAATTGGGTGTGGCGCGGAAATCGGAGAATTTTTTATCCGTATATAATAACAACTCCGACTGCTCATTTGCATTTACTACAGGAACAAATACTCCGAAGAGTACGAAAGCGCGAAAAATGATCCTTCGTTCGTCTCGCACGCTGTTTTGCATTTCCGGTTCGCAATTAGTGCATACTCGGGAGGAAGGACAGAAGGAGAAACGACATCCGCAATCGAATAAACTTTCAGGGATAACTCGGATATTAATTTCTCTCTCTCTCTTTCTCTCTCTTATCAATAAGAGAAAAAAATAAAAAATCTATTAAACACGCGTGTTCACATACCATACGCGGCATACGCGGTGCGCGATACGTCTTACTTGAGGCCGTGAGGCTCCCGTGAGGCCGCATGTCATCGGCATGTGAAAACTCGGGTGCGACGTTGATTGGGTGTTATGGCGCAATTACTCCTTTGATCACACGACGAAAAACAATGTATAGACGTGCTGTCTGCCGCGATGCGTCGTCGGGACGCTACCGAAGGTTTCTCGTCAGCTTTTTCTTCGTGCCTCGTGCCTCGAGAGAGCAGCGCGCGTCGTCGCCACTTTTTAATATATACGTTCATTTATAACCGGAATCTCTTCGTCGCGCTTCCGCATTCGCCTTAACGGCCACATTGTGAACGCATAAACATAATAAATATGGATGGAAGGTATCTTGGCTTTCCGTGATGTCGTCAGTCTCCCTCTCTCTTTCTCTCTCTCTCTCTTTCTCTCTCTCTCTCTCTCTCTCTCTCTCTCTCTCTCTCGATCTCTTTCTCTTTCGCTCTCTGTCTCCCCCTCTTTCCCACCAGGAAGCACTTAAGGATTCAAGACCAAGGATCGCGCGGACAGCGTCCGATATCGACGTTAACGCACGTTGCACGAACAATAATGTTGATCGATCGGGGCAACTAATTGACCGGACGACGCGGTGACTCTCCTTAGCACGTGACGAACGGATTGACGGACTTCGACGAGAAACGTTTTCTCATCACTCGCGCGAAAAAGAAGAGACGAATTTTTAAAGATACTTGAGAATATAATTCTCAAACCTTTACCTGATCGATACGGCAACTTGCGAGAAGGTGAAGTTGTTGGAAATGTTAAAGACCGACGAATGACACTGAACGCACTTCGCCGGTCTTATATATCCGCAAACGCCGGATTCAACCCTCGCGCTAGGGAAACCCCCGCTGCTTATCTTCCTTTAATTCGATCTCTTCAATTTCCTGCACTCAGCGTACGGCAATGTCCTATGCGCTTTTATGGACGAACTATATGTTACGAGTGGCTTTTGCAATTAAAAATACTGTTGAATGCGATATATTCTATATACCTTGCTTTTTTATACAAGCATTTTTATCTGTAATTAACTGTAAGATTCAAATCGTGATTATAATATGACATTTTGTGACATGCTGTAGCATTTATTTTATGTAATAGATATTTGCTTTAAGAGAAAATATAATGTTATAAATATGTTTATAATTTAAACAACATGAGTTAAACAACTACTCAAAAGTTTTGTTAGAAATTTTATCTTTTCTTAGGAAGCTATAAACTTTACTGTTGATTATAATATATTTTTATTGTAATTAGTTAAACATAAAAGCAGTTTATTTACAGTATTTTTATTAACAAATGTTTTATTTAAAAATATACTGTGAATAATAAAAGAGACATCATAAAACTTTTTGTTTGTTTGAAGTATTGCATGTACTATAATTATTTTTGTATTTTACTTTGTCTTTTCTGATTAAATTTTAAATTAAAATTTTTTTTATTTTCCATTCTTTTTTTAGATATACTTGTTCTATAATACTTATTTTTATATTTTAACTCATTTATTTAACATAAATCAAATAAAATACAAATACAAATTGAAAGCATTGTTATATAATATATTATCTATATTTAATTTCTAAGTGGTAATTTTTCTCTAATAATAAATGTGCATTGCAACAATATATACTATTATAACAATAAAACAAATACTATCACATAACAATTAATCCAATTATAATGACATTATTATAATTAATTATTTATTCTATCTAATTCTGAGCGACAAATATGTAATAACAAGGATGTAAGTTTAACACATAACATTTAATTTACGTCTTAAGCTTCTTCTTGCGAGTCTTCTGTCTCTTCTTCGTTGTCCTCATTTTTTTTACGAGGCGATTCGTATTCCAAACTCCAAAAATTATTATATTTAATTGGTACTGCTTCACCTTTCTCAATCATTTTGTTGAGATTATCGTCTAATCTGGAAAAACGATCCGTCTTGTCTAAGATACTCGACAACGTTTTACGAACATCTTCTCTGTTTCTCGATTCTTCTTTTTGTCTATCTTCTTCGGCCGTCGAATTATCTCGCAACTGGCGCAAAACATCCTCCGTAAAATGATGAGACAAGAATTCGTTTTCCGTGTCGACGGTTTCGGACGATTCTTCATCGTTGTTCTTTTCGAAAATATGCTTAAAGAAGTCTTTGTCGTCGTAAGGATAATCTTTATCGATTTCTTCGCTCTCTTTCGTTTCTCCCTTCGCATTAAAATTAGCGTCCTCTTCTCTGTCGTTCGTCTCAGCTCTATCGTCGGAAGCGATTCTATGATTATCGTGGTAATCTTTATTCTTGACGATGTAATCTTGCAATTGTTCTTTTGGATCCGTGGCATACGTCTCTTCTTCAGATTCCTTAGTGCGATCGGGATTTTCCTTATGTTCTTTTGAATCCGTGTACGTTTCGACCTCTTCGGACTCCTCGGTGCGATCTTCTTTATGATTATATTCCGATTCTTTATCATTGCTCTTTCCAAAAATATGCTTAAAGAAATCTTTATCGTCATAAGGATAGTGATCTTTATCGATTGTCTCGCTCTCTTTCGCTTCCTTCTTCGCGTAAAAGTCAGTCTCCTCTTTCGTCTTGTTTCTGTTGTCCAAAGCGATTTCGTGATCATCGTGGGAATCTTCGTTCTTCGCGAAATAATTGTGCGATTTTTCTTTTGGATCTGTGGCGTAGGTCTCGGTCTCTTCGGACTCCTCGGGGCGATCGGGATTTTCCTTATGGTCGTATTTCTTGCTAGAAGTAGCTCGTATGCTTTCCAATATAGGGTCGTTTTTAAAGAACTCGCTCCAATTAATTGGTTTTTTATATTCATTTATGTCAAAGTCAACGAAATCCGAGTTTTCATTCTCCTCGGACAACGCGGATTCTGCGGAATCTTCTGCGGAACGGTGAATATCGTCGTTCGTAACATTCTTGGTATTATTGCGCAACTTGGTATCTTCGACATTGTAATTGTCGACGCATTCGGCAGAATCTTTATTTTCTGTGCAACTTGAATGCGAGTTGTTTGCGTTCAATGAGGTGTCCGGCTCGTTACTTTCAGCATGTGCCACTTTAATCTCAGCACTTGGAGACTTTGAAGAGAAATCATCAGCGCCGTGGAGCTGTTTAGGGCTATAATTGTAATCGCTATCGTCGTATTCTTTGTATCTCGCTGCAGTTGCGCTCTGATTACTTTTGTCTAAGCTGTCTTCCTTTTGGTCGGAATAATCTGGTACCTCTACATAGGGTATGTTTGAAGGATCATATTTCGGAGTCGTGCCTGTCGAATAATTTTCTGCGTGTTTCGCTTGATCCTTTTCTTGCGAGTCTTTGTCGACGGCACTCTTGGTCGGCGAGAGTGACGAGATAGCGAAATCTTCTTCAGATGAATACGGCGGTCCTGGCTCGGTGATGACTTCCTGCGATGAATGACGCGTTTCGTTAGCGTTACTATATTCCGTCGAATTATCCGAAGACGAATGGGTGACGTGTTCAACCTTATCGGGGAATTTATTCAAGTCGTCCACTTCGGAAGCGCTATTTACGAGTATAGGCACGATCGGATCGTTACTTAATTTTGCTATGTTTACAACTGGAATTTTCTTAGGTTGCCATTGAGTTTTATTCGCAACGGCCCAAAAGCCTGATATATAAGGACCAGAGTCGGATATTTCTGGTGAATTTATCGTATCCGTGATGGTACCAAGTGACGGTTTTTTGTTCGTTGTTTGCACCTGCTTATCTCCTTCGTAATTGACTGTTTCTTCTTGAACGCATGGAGTTGAAGCTGCGTCATTTTTCGGGATACTCGCGTTTCGTTTAGAACGAGCCTTTGTGTTTCCGTTCTGCACCTTAGTCGCATTAATTATATCCCAGATGCGTTTATAAAAATCTCGTTCCGGTTTAATATTGGGATTTGTCGCTTGTAATTTATCTTCCTGCGACTGCGAGGCTGTAATTCGGTCTTTATCAGTGCAGGTTGAATTATTCTTTTCAGAATTATTCTCTAAGGAATTGTAACCGCTGATAATATCGGAATGAGGACGGGTACCGTTAATGTATTCCCAAATACGTTTGTAAAATACAGTACTTGGAATCGCTACATTGTTCGCTGTTTTAAGATCAACCGTATTTTTACTTTGCAGTCGTTTTCTCGTTGGAGGAGTCCTCATTTGTCGTTTTCTATGATTGGGTTTCGGATAACGAGATTTTTTACTTGAAACAAAAGTTTTTCCCCGTTGAGTATGCCGCGAATCTTTAGTTACAGTCGAATTATTTCTCGATTTGTAAGACGAACGTTTTGAACGCTTCTTGCCAATTATTTTCTGAATATTTTTTGCTGCTTCCAGCATTTGCGCGCTGTTCTGTCGTTTCTGTCGAATGGCCTCGACAACTGTTGTAATTTTGATGATTTCCATATCAGGAGACAAATTCACATTTTTATTTTGATTATTTGTAGGAGAGACTGTCAACGACATAATTTGTTTATTTAGAAATTTTTCTTCTTGCTGAAGTCTTTTCTGAGGCATTTTTGATCGTTGCGTGAATTTTTTCCACGTAGCAGGATACGGATATATCCACCAAGGCTTGTTCGGCTTCTTTTTTAAACTGGTTGCTGTAGCTTTTTCCATGGATTTTAATTTACGATTGAATTTATATACCTGCTGTAATGTGGGCTTAATCTCAGATGCAGCTTGCGCCGATTTCATTATGGTATCCTGGAAATGATTGAGTAACAATCAGCGATATTGTATATTGTAACATTACATTAGATTACAAATCAAATTACAAATCAACATTATTCAAAATAATTTCATTAATGTTACAAAAAGCAAGTATTCTACCAATATAATAATATAATTATTTTACATGCCATAATGATACATTATTATACATTAAATAAGTAGCAAAAATATTTTTTATACGTATATCGGATCGCACATTGTCGAAAATGCGTTTAGAAAAATACTTGATAGGTAGATGTACTTACATTAATATTTTGTGAAAGCGGTGAGGAGCAAATGAATATCACGGTTCCGTATCTTGCATGTAATTCTCGCAGCATTAAGCTGTACCCGTGCATTTTATACTACCGTGTAATAAATCGTGCCGTTATACATATTATACAATGATCCTAAATTTAATAGATCTTTAAACGTGTGATATTTTTATGAGCTACCAACTCTCTCTACTAACTCACGTGCAATTTCTGCTCGGTAAATTGAGAGTAATACAGAAAAATAAATGAAGGTTTATTAAATGGCATTCTTATGAAATTGACTTTATTTGTTGATTGTAATTATGTACAAAGTACAATACAAATGGTAACTACATCATTACAGTGGCGCAGAAAATATACATTTTGCTCGTAGATTCGAATAAAAAGCAAGAGATAATTTCTGAGCCACTGCGTGTGAATATTTATATTTACATTTTGCTTATTACAATAATGCTTGAAGCGATAATTAATCATCATACAAAACTGTATATCATACATTTTTTATTAATGTATTTGTTATCTCACTGTAGGATTGTCAGTATACTATTGACAAATAAATAAGATTTTATTCCATTTCAATTAAGCAAACGTACATGTGCTCACATACTTGGTAACATTGCGTTAACGCGTTTGAAAAGGAAATTATCATTCTTAAGAGACTTTCAGTACATAAATTATATACGTTAAAGTTACTACTAATAAGTGTCTAAAGCAATAATAGAAAAATAATAACATCAAGTTTGATCATCAATAAGCTCAGTCATTGTTACTGCGATAGATCCAGCAAAACGTTACTTGAATTTTCATACTTCATGAAAGAGTACTCCCTATTGTACTCCATTGTGAACAGTGTAGACAGAGATATCTGAATTATCATTATCAAGTCTAATCGTCGAGCATCCAAGAAAGATACTTCATAAGTGGTACATGTACGCAAATACACCGTTATACATCTCGCTGTATACATGGACGGTCGATCGACTGTATCTCCACGTTTGTGTTGCGCTTCTTTAGATAGTGCAGCCTCAAAGCGCAGCAAATGACGTATATGGCGGCAGATATTTTGCGATCAGGCGCATTTGTCCCCCGCGGTGCACTGCGCTTATTTTCTCGTGAAGCCCAGATAGGAAGCAATGCCGTTAATATTCTCAAAGAAGATTCGATAAGCTTGCTGCTTGTCGTAGTGCTCCGGCACCATCGCCGGTTTCACCGGACGCTCCTCCACCCATCGCTATAGTACAATAGGCAATTGTAGGTACTGATGTGTGTGGTGCATGGCAGTCGGCGGGGAAATGTGGAGTTAGAACGGTAATATATACGATTGCGCGTTTGTCAACAAACGCGATCGTCTGATTCTGAAAGCTGTGTATGTCCGAGCACACGATATACTTTACCTGTTATTAGTACCAGATACTGGAGGGGGGTGAATGTAAACTAGGAATGCAAGATGATGTAGAAGAGAAAAGCACAACACAAAGGAAACTGAATTCCATATATCGTTTAATTTCATATCAAAGTTGTGCTATATAGCGTAAAAAAAGAATATATTTAAAAGCGCGGATAATATAAAATTGTAGGCAAAATGCTGAACGTTTTCACGCCTACATCGGGGTTTGCATTTCTAGCGAATGATGTCTGAGTATAATCTTGATGAGTTCATTTTTAATGAGTGGTTTAATGGATGGCATGAAAGAACACGCGAAATGTATAAAACAGAACGATAATAAAAAGTTTTATTGTTCGAAGTGTTATATTCAAAAAGATGGCACTTACATAATTTTGTGTATAATAGCGAGCAGTATTCTCTGGACAAGAACATTATAGAAATTCCAACTTACAAAAATACACCATTCGCAACTGTAATCGAGTACATAGTCAAATGATCGTGCTTCGCATTAAATAGATTAAAAAAATTTTTATGTTCAACAATATATATTTTTTTAATGTACTTCAAAAGGCACAGAATATGAAGTAGACTATTTTCAATGTGCTTCGATCGAGAAATCAAGGGATATTAACTTCACGAAGAATATGTATTGGAAGGACTAGATATTAAGCTAAGTGTTATAAGTGTCCGCGATGCTGAAGAGATGGCGATAGATGGTTACGTGCAATTGATTGTAATTTGCTATGTACAAAGAGTGTACTGTTACCGAGTGTAGTTTTAATATTGTAAAGTTCTTATAAATTGGACGTAATATTATCGAAGATAAAATAATTGTAACGGTGGAAGGAAATTACATTAAATGTATTCTAAAAAAAATATAAAAAAGAAGTCGTCGCTATATTACTCAAAGTTTGAATAATAAAATACTAAATGCAATATAAATGATATGTAAAACAACATACGAAAAAATTTTACAATTAAACATTTAAATACGATACATTTAGATCGAATAAAATTATCTGCGAGTTGAAGTGCAGTTTGCAGACACTTCAGCATATTAATTGCTATACATGTATTTATTAAATAACACTAAAATAAAATAAAATAATAATGGAAAATTCTGAAGCTTATACATGAGAGAAAATCCAATTATATGAAATCTGTGCAATCATACGCGGCATTCAAACTGTAATATTACACAGTCACAAATAACTTTCGTATATATGAGAAGATCAAAACTGAAACTTGACGTATAAATAGCATTCTATTATCTATATTTTGAATAGTGAGTCTGTTGTTATGTATGAAATTCTTGTTGCCTTTTGTATGAAAGTGTACATGAAAGATAATGCACGTTGCATTCTTACTTAGGAGAAGCTATATGTACATTCTGTTGATATAAGGATTACTATGTGAAAGCTAAAGGTGTCCTGTAACTTTGCCAAGGGTTTAGGGTCGATGTCGCTTGTGTTATCTTCGATTAATCGAGTTATCAGTATTCTACGATCCAAATTGGAGTTTACTATCGTAATGATTGCAACAACACGTCTATGAGTTATTATCAAAAGTGTCAAATAAATCGGGATCGTAGTTTATGAATCGATATTATGAACAGCTCGAAATGTCGATTCGAGTATGACTGACACTGGCCAACTCTGTCGCACTACGATTTAATCAGTTCGTTCGACTTAAGCCTGACTTATCGCGTCTGTTTGCTCTACTTCAACACGTGCGTGCCTACGGGGTGGTCGTGTGTTATAGTGCCTAAGGGTTGGGCTTCTTGGCTCGTGGCTCGGTTGGTTTACGTGGTGGTGTTCGCCTAAAGGCACTCTGTTTATATCTAGATTGGTGAAACAGACTCTCCTTTTATTTCCCCAACTGCCCATACGGGTCTGCTAGATTACTCACGTATTGCGCGGCGTGACTCGTCGCCGGGAATTCGGCCCATTTCGACAAGTCGATGCCGGGTAGAATACCGCTGCGACATGGGACTCGAGGATTTCTGTTATGACAATTGCAGATACATATTATATTACATAGACGAAATTAGTTGTTTAATATAATGGGTAAAATAAATACGTAATAGATATAGAATATATTAATATATATAGTAATAATAAATATTTTTATGGACTCTTTTCTTTACAATTTCTTTACAATAAATGAAGTGTAAAGTTACGATACTGTGGCTATAAATATAATTTTTCTTTGGCTACACTCATAAATTAGAATGTTAGTCGTTAATTTTGGTTATCTTTTTCAACTTTTTTATATTTTAACCAACAAATTGTTATTTATCATTTATAAATCGTATTCACTTACATTTCGTGATCTGGAAGAACCATCGGATAGATTTGTACCGTATCGATAAGATCGGTATTGTCGCAAATCAATCTGGCGAGTTTCGTTTTTCGAATCTCGTTTAATTGTTCTAGAAAAGTGAAAGTAAAAGCGATTTTAGAAGGTACCGCTTCTCGTTTATACATATCGAATGGTTGTCGCGAGTCCTTGACTCGCGCTGCTCCCACCGGAAAGAGAATTCGAAAGGGTCTTACCGAGAGTGAAGGACGACGGCTGGTTCGGCAGCTCGTACCAGAATCTGTCTCCGCGGCGCGAATGACTGAACTGCGTGGCAATCAGACAGGCGAAGGTTGGCCCGAGCATGCTACCCGGAAGCGGTCTTTCGGATACACCGCCCGACCATAAATCGACGTCCGCGGGATGTCTGAAAAGGAGCTCGGCTAAGATAAAGTCGTTATTTTTGAATACGTTATTTTTTAGCGCGATTGGTCCATTGACTGAATAATGAGATACAACTGAATAATGAGAAACTTGACCGATTGGTCTTTCGGTACTCCGAAGGTTCCGCTACCGACTTTCACAGACGTGTAATACTCACTCGAAAATAGTGCTATATCGCCTGACGGTTTCATTTGGCATGGAACCGAACAATTCTTCGAAGGTGTTCGCTTCGGGAAGGCCGCAGTACTTTCTAAAATTATAAAATTACGAAATTATAATTATTTAATAAAATATACATATATACTTTATTATAAAAGTATATTTTTGGTCATGTATTTTAATTTTTTGGTTGCTAGAGAAAATTAGTTGTCTCGACGACTAAATTCTCCGTTGGTTTTATCATCATTCAATTTTACTTCTATTTGTTCCTCTGTTCCGTTCCATTTATCTAGATTTGCTGTGTACTTGTTATACAGAAGATTATTACGGAACACAGTTATCGCTTTACCTGCAGTTAGTTAAACAAGCTTGTTAGTACAAGCACAGTTTAGCAATAACTCACCTGAATTCCATATAACTTGGAATACCAAACTCGCGGCCGCGTTGCATGTTAAAGGATACCAAATCCATTCCGAATTTTGCTCCCGCTTTTTTGAAGAGATGATTCGTCACCTGTAAAGAACAAACCGTGTAGTACAGCATAGTTGTATATATCCTATTTGTGTTAATCATTGTTTTACTTCTTGCGTTATAGAATCATCCATAGCCTGAGCGACTTGGTTCATCAAGCCCATGAAATATTCGTCAAATACACCGGCCCGATATAAATCATAAGGGCGTCTTATCAAATCTGAGAGTCTCTTTGAAGCTATAAAGATAAACAAAAATAATTTGCAATTAGATTTGAAGGGAAAAACAAAAGCTAGGCACTCTAACGAAAAGTTGATTAAAATCATCTCATTATTTATAATATTAAATTTTTTTTATCAAGGTTCGAAACAAATTTCAAAGTTTATTTAAAATAATAAAATTTTAATTTATCTATTTAGAATTTAAAATTTATCTATTTTCTCTTAATATGTAGGAGCGATTTTAATTTAACCTAAGAAAAAAGATTTCAAAATTATTAGAGAATTTATATTTGAGAAAAACGATATCTTCTGATATGATTTGTTTATGCAATGTAACCTTGTTGTGCAATTATTATATATTGTCGCTTACCAATAAATTTGTGAGCTTTGCTCCATCGTTCTACAGCCGTGGGCAATAGCGAATGACCGAACCTAAAGGCAGCAGCGGCGAAAGCGTCTATTACGCCTGGATTTATGCTTGGATCGTATCCATTCCAGTATTTCTATGGAAAATTGATATTTTAACGTCAACGCGGTTATTAGCGTTTATCAAAGGCTGTCCAACACAGTTAAAAATATACAGAAAATATATATCATTAAATCTCAGTTATTACGACAACATACGGTTACTAGAAATTTTTTTCTGTGCATTTGAAAAACAAATTACTTGGCTTATTAACGATCTCCTTTAAAGTTACCTTTATTTATGTATACAGTGACAAATTATGTATGTCTCTACATGTAATTTACGCGTAATATTTATGCATTTTGTTTCATTTTATTTCAGTGTCGTTAGTTCAACTCACTTCCTTCTCGAGGAGAAGTCCGAATTTCTCCATGACATCTTTGCCGAGTAATATCGGGAGGAACTCGTTATAAGTGATGTGTTGAATTTCCGCGATGACGATGCGCCTAGCTTCCTGGAAGAGAATCTCATCGTCCCAGTGCGGATTCACGACAGCTAACACTTTGGCAAGCCGGTTATGCTCTCGCGCCAGTAAAGTGTGCATGCAGGTAAGTACCAACTGTTCGTTTACACGAATCTCACCTATAAGTAACAGATGTGACCGATACAATATCAATTCTGCTTAAGATTCTAAAAGGATAATTAGTTCTCGCGATGGCAAATATCGATATTTTTACAAAAAGAATCCGATAATTTTAAAAATTCCAAGATGGTTAATTAGCTTAAGAGATTTATTAAAGTATTAGACTTTGAGTATAATGATTCAACACAATATAATTTATTGAATTATGTATTATAAAATTTGAAGACTGCGATGCGTCAATGTAAACTAGACAGAGTTTTTTAATGACTCTTTGTCATCCTCAATTAGTATTTTTTCCATATCACGAATTATTAAATTATTGCATTGTTGCGTTCTTGCATGTATATCATAGATAATATATCATAGATAGTAGTCGTGACAAATCAATCGCTTCGCTATTGCTTGAGAGGAGC